TTTCAAGAAAAGCAGGGTTCGAATTCATATCTTCGACCACATAGAAAATAAATATATTCTTTCGTCAACTGGCTCATCAGAATGGCAAATGCAAACTATAGAATTTTATTGTGTCGAAACACACGCTACGTTTTCTGGGATTAAACCCATGACCCTCGGATCACATGTCTACGAAAATTTCAAAATCAAGGAAATGTAAAGTTAGTTTAAAGTTCATGTCAAAACAAGGCCGACTTGCTAAGAATTCAAGGTAAATTCAGGACAGAAGGACTCTTCATATTTAAGCAAAATCTAAGTATTTTAGTGTGAGAACCCCTGCCCCCATCCCCCTTTCTTTCGAAGACTCACCCTAGAGTCATGCTTCCATCTTGTAGGTTTTGCTCTAGAGTGAAACTACTCTAGGAGATAGGCTCATTCTAGAATCATACGCTTCCTCGCAAAAGCCTTGCTCTAGTTTGAGACCCCCCCCCCCCCGTGAATTCTGTTATCAACGTAAGGGGACGGAAATGAAAAAAAAAATAAATTCAACGTTTAGCCTAGTTAAGGTCACAGGACAAAAACAAAGAAAGAACGATCATATAAGAAATGTCTTTATATGTAGAAAAAGAAACCCCTTGTAGGTATAATTATTTCTTTAAAGGTCAGGCCACTTTGTTTCAAAGATTTTAGCACAATTCAAAAGACTTGATCTCACATGTAATACCCTCAGGAAGATGCAAGTAAGAAAATGGCTTGTTATTTACAATTGCTTTTTATTCTCTTGTGATTAATTAACGAATATGCAAAATGGTCAAATTCACTGCAGTGTCTTGGGACGTTAACAGTCTTCATGCATTGACTGTAGAACGAGTAAAAGCAAGAATAATTGAAGGGGGAGACTTACGATATGGGAGGAGTATACACTACAAATAGTTGTACAGTAGGTTTTTGCCCGGGAGAGTGTGGCTTAAATGTAAAGTGCCTTCACCAGGGGCTCTCCTGTTCTTCGCCCCGAAGAAGAGGGGATATCACTCCAGAGCAAAACTTTTGCTGCGATGTCCCTCTACTTGGGTAGTCTCACTCTACAACACTGGTATATATTAAGATCATACTTCTTGTGATGGTGTTGTGCATGGCCATCCATTTTATAAATACACAATGATTGGAAAACTTTAAAATCTCCTTAAAGTATAACATTATATAGTTTGATAAACTGAATAGTCAAAATTAAAGGTCATAAAATTCATTACACCATGAATTCCCAAAATATTTTTAGCGATCAAGCTAAATGTTTCCAGGATAATAAACCCAGCGCAAATTAAAGTTTATCATTTGATATTTTTTTCTAACTTAAAATCATTTCTTTGTAAAAATATGTTTTCCTTTACTGATCCCTTCAGAGAATAAGGGTGCATTGATTGGCATTCGACAGGAATCTGGGCACACTTGAGAAATGAAAAGGAACACTTCTCAATAAATGAAATCCAAGGGAGTGCAGTTTCTGATTTGTAGTCCAAATGTCTTCAAAACTTGTTATATTTTACAAAAGATAGATACACCTCTTCATGCATTTTCTCAAGTCAAACTTTAAAAAAAAAAATTGCGATAGAAGTGAAAAAAGAAAGGGGGGATTTAAGTCTTTTTTGTTTGTTTGCCGATATTATTCTTTTCTTTTGTTTAGATCAACCATTGAATTAAAAAACAGTAACTCTTTGTATGTGATAAGACAGCTACATGTACATATATATGCATATAAAGATCTCAAGATCAACAACGGGCTGATACCTGAATCTTTGTCACGTGATGATGCCGATGATACCTGCAGAATAGGCTATGCTGCACGGCGCGATGCAATATGTAGAAAAAAATATCCATGTGTCATTTGCAGGTGTAGCATATTCAAAACAATTTTACTAGCTGAACTTTTCAATTTTTATTCATCATGTACTTTTACCAATTATTATCCGGAAAGTCATAACCATTGCATTCATATCTTACACACTCCAAGGTGGGGGAGTACCTATTGTAAACTCTTTTTATATAATCATAATCTATAATTATCTGATGAGAAATGAAAATGAAATTGAAACATAATAACAAAAATCAGAACTTAGTTGAAAGCAAATTAAAAAAAAAAAAAAATATTTTACTCATGGTTTTATACATGTTATCATTAAAGCATGATTATTTTACTGAACTAATAGAGAAATAACGTCTCATTTCCCAATGTGCACTTTCTAGCACAACCACAAATAGATCGGCCGCTGCTGAGGCCGATAATAAGGAATACAGGATTTATGATATTAACTTCATTTATCAATTCATGATATATTAAAGTAGATATATGAAAATATATGAATAATTATGCTTTTAACAGAGAGTGAGGGAAAATGCACAAATACTTATTTTTGTTTGACTGCTTCTAAAGCCGTATCAATGTCAACCCAACTTTTTCCGATCAAAGAGCTATGCAATCTGAATTTTCTCTTAATTACAAGCCCTCATGCATACGTTATGTTCCTACGTTGCATTACTTTTCTAAAATGGGTAAGTGAGTTTTGCTCTGTAAGAAATATTGCCTGTAAATTTCGAAAAATCATTTGGGTATTGTCTTTATTAATTTCGGGTATGTAATTTAGGACATTCTTTCTTTATGAAATTAACTGCATACTTGTTTTTTCATAATAAGTTTGTTTATTACATCTGCACTCTTACTTTGATACTTTTATAAGACGTTAGTTAACGTAGAACCTACGTCGTATGACGTCATAGTTAAGTGAACGAATGCGAGACTGTCTCAGCTAATGACACAACTTTGATAAATAAATGACATGCAACTATTTTGAAGGAATGCAAAATTGCTAAGAAATCTTCAGTCAACTATTAAATAGAACAAATATCTTGATGATATATCGTCAGAGTCTTAAATCTATTAAAGATTGTGTTGAATGTTTGTAATGTCTATTATGAAAAGAAAAGTACAGTAAACTGTTTCCATTAAGAAAGAGGATTTTCTATTCGTGTCCTCTTTTTTCAGTACAAAATGAAAAATGAATATAAGGCAATTTCAGAAATGAAGATATTTTTTATTCCATTTTCTTATTTGACATAACAAGAAATTGGTGAGGCCACCACTTTTCTGCAGTGAAAACAGATTTGCAGTTAATAGAATCACAAATTCAGGCTAAAAATTTGTGAATACACCATTTTAAATCTGAAATGAAATATATCAACAACGGTCTTGGTGGTTCCACCAAAAATACAAAAACAACAAAATCTGTAATTAAATGATATACAAGAATTGGTGGTGTCACCAAGATTATACAAAGTGATTTTAAAAAACATCTTTCAATGACGACGAATACATTTCTTAAACTAATAAACATTGCTGGTGAATCCACCAATTTATAAAAAAACTAATGTTGAGTAAATATTAATAATAAAAAAAAACGTACTCCACCAAAAACATGTAAAGCCTAAATAAAAATATTGCACTGAACGAAGCTGGTGGAACCATCAAAAATATTTTAAACCATTTGCTTAATTAGAAGTTGGTGAAGCCACCAATTTCCTGTCATATCAGGTTAAATCATACATCGAGGCTACAAATTGGTGAACACACCATTTTGAATGATTAAATATCGTCCCTGAGGTGAAAAATATCACGAAAGATCTTGGTGGTTCCACCAAAAATACATACGCAAAATCATTTGAAAATGCTTCTATAAATAAATCAACTAGAATTGGTGAAGTCACCAAGATAATACAAATTGGTTTTAAAACATCTTACAATGACGATGAAAACATTTCTTAAACTAATAAACAGTGCTAGTTAATTCACCAATTAAACCAACAATAACCCATAATAAAGTTAATTTTATAAACTAATTGAAGCAATGAGCTGACGAATCCGCCGTAAATAATGATAGGCAAAATGCAACAATTTTTGAACTGTTGCTGGTGTAACCACCAATCTTGTGAATGTGAATTCACAAAAGTGAAGCATAATTGCAACATAACTTCAGTGAAAAAATTGCACTGAACAAAGCTGGTGGAACCACCAAAAATATTTCAAACCAATAGCTTAAATGCATTATAATAAGGAAGAAGTTGGTGAAGCCACCACTTTCCTGTCGTGCAATCAGGTTAAATCACAGATATAGGCCAAAAATTGGTGAATTTATCATGATTGATCTTGGTGGTTCCACCAAAAATACAAATCAAATTCAATTAAAAATGCTTTTACAAATAAATCTACTAGAATTGGTGAACTCACCAAGATAATACAGAGTGGTTTCCAACCGTCTTACAATGATGATGAAAACATTTCTTAAACAAATTAACAATGCTAGATAATCTATCATTTTTTTAGAAGCTGCAATGGAAAATGGAAATTTTAAAAATATATTGGAAAATACGAAAGGTATCAAAGACACAGTGACAAATAGTACCACTAGATAGAATATATATATATATATATATATATATATATATATATATATATATATATATATATATATATATATATATATATATATATATATATATATATATATATATCTTTCATATATGCCTATATAAAAGAAATGGTTGAGTCGATAAAATGCATCAACGTGGACTTAAAAAACATAACATGACAAGCTATAAATATTTGCTAGATTTTTTTTTTTTACAGTTTTGAAACTCTGTGAGTTCCAAATAGCAGTCTGACATACCTACCTTTCTCTTATTATCGAGGAAATATACAAGCAATGATAGTTCATTTCCTATTATCGTTGTCATGTGACAACAAAACATGAATTCTTTCTTAAACAGTTATAAAAATTTTTTAAATAGATAATAGAAAATTATTCTAGAGTACAAGTAGAATAAGGGATACATAGAAGCTTTGGGGAGGTATTTGTTTACTTTGGGAAAAATCGACAACGTTTTTGTGAATCATTATCATTATAAAAATCATTAAAAAATGATTTAAATGGTAAATTCTATACTTTTTTTTCATTTACAACATATATCTTATTTTACTTGCTCAAAACAACAGGTTCAATAAGCTCATCATTCATCATGTTCTGTATTGTGTCTGGCAGTAGGTTCTCTTCTTCGTTTTCATCATGACTCAACTGTTTGGGTAGCATTGGAAGAATCCATTGTGCATTCGCAAAAAATAGCCTGCGACGTTCAGAAGAATTTTCCTCACATTTCTTCCATAGCTTGAGAAAACGTCCCCACCAATGATATTGGGTCTGATCAATCTGATCACTGAATAAACATTTCCAATGCTTTAACTGGCTTGATATTCTTTCTAAACCAATTCCATCGAAGTTAATTGGAGACAGTTTTGGACTGCCTCGAATGCTGATAATTTTTTGCTGGTTGTTTCGAGCCATTATACCTCCTTCAAGTTTCTTCCAAGGAGAGTCATACTTTCCTTTATAAAATGTTTCCACTAGAGACTCGTTGCTTCTAAACTTAAAATGAAGGGGACGAGTATGTTTCCTCAAATCGCATATACTGTTTTGAATCCACGTCCGAAAGTCATATATGAAGTTGATGACCTTGACATTTGGAAGAAGCTCAATAAGATCATCTAGTGTTTCGGCATCATTTCTCCGCAATTTATCGGCCACTTTACTGAAACAAGCATCAATATCCTCGTGCGTGTGGCCAACCATCAAAAACAATAGATGAACCTGTAATTGATTTTTTGATACATATATATCAATCCTATTTTGACTTATCAATTTATTTATATTAGGGTCTTTCGCCTCTAACGGCAGACCCTTCCATTATTTCATTGTTTATTAATGTTCTTGTTTTTTTTTTCTTTATAATATTTGTGCAGAAGATTTCTAGGAGTTTGCTCGATCGATTTATTTGAAAATTTCAGCGAAGGTATATCTTTGTTTGAATCTCTAACAATCAATATTTTGTTTAACATTACTGAAGCAGAATTGTGTATCTTAATAATGTACAACTATATACGTATTATGATATTTATGTCATACGTTACATTATTGGGGGCCACAAGGAGCCAGTAAGCTAAATCTTTGACGCTTTATATCTCAAAAGAGGAAAATATTTTGAAAGCAAAATTGAACAAAAAATAAAAAATGTTCTGAACAATGTGTAACCTTTCAAAATGTCCCCAATAAGAATTTCAAGGACCGGTCCCGAAGCATTTCTTTTGCAAATATCTTGGAAACGAGAAAAAAAATTCTGAATACTTATTGAACAGAAAGTGTTTAAAACCCCAGGTATTTAAAATGATACCAAGAAAAAAGGGGCTGGCCCCTAAAATTAGGGGCCTAGAGGGGCCAAAGTCCTCAATCAATAACACTTTAACAATCAATATTTTGTTATACATTACTGAAGCAAAAATGTTTATCTCAACAATTTAAAACTGTATATTGAATTTACATAATAAGTTACATCATTAGGGGCCATAAGAGGCCAGAATGTTAATTATATGGCATTCTGTTTCTCAAAAGTGGGAGATATTTTGTTTTGTTTGTATGTTGTTTAACGTCCCTCTCGAGAATTTTTCACTCATATGGAGACGCCACCACTTGCCGGTGGAGAGCTGCAAATTTTGTCCTATACTCGGCACTTACGGCCATTGAGCAGTTAGGGGTCTTTTTCATGCCAGCACCTACTGCGACACGGGACCTTGGTTTATACGGTCCCATCCGTCTCATCTCCACGTCCCACAGTGGGATTCGAACCCGCGACGTAAGGATCAACTCCTTACTTCGCGACTCTAGAGCAGACGCTCTAACCACTGCGCCACGCGGGCGACGGGAGATATTTTGAAAAACAATAATGAAAAAAAAAATCGAAGAAATATATTGAACAATATCTAACCTTTCTTTTTTTTTCTTTTTTTTTTTTTTTGCTGAATGTCCCCATTAAGGATTTGAAGGATTGGTCCTTAAATATTTTTGTTGCAAATATCTCGGAAACAAAGAGTTTCTGAATAGTTATTGAAGAAAAGGTGTTAAAAATCAAGAGAGGTTGAAGATGTTACTAAGAAACAAGAGGCCCAAGGGCCTTAATGGTTACCTGAGTATAATACAACACTGTAAAGGATCCATTGAGGTATAATACAAAATTAACTGAAAGACGAAGATATGTTGCCCAAGAATTTCAAAAATCTGGTTAAAATGTCCTTGCTTATTGTAAAGTGCTAGACCCGAGTGATCTCCTTGGGATCATACTTGGTTTTCCTAAGTCTTACAGGGATGATAATGAATGAAAAATATACAAATACAATCGACACTTGCCTATTGTGTAAGGTATTCAATATATACAGATATGTTTTTGTCAATTGTCTAGTGCTACAATTTAGTACACACAGACTTGAGTATACAACGTGGCTATTTGCCATTTGTCACTAATTACATTAAGTCTCTCTGGCTCTCTGTAAATCTTTGTTCACTTTGATAAAGTATAAAACAACTATATCCACTCTCTTGTTGACCATGACTCTTCTACAGTGACAATAACTTAGATCACCACATTGTAAACATGCTGTGTACAATTACAAGTTTTGCTAAATATGCATGTATAAATAATTTTTATAATGCTTTTATCTTTTATAATGCTTTCTAGGCAAGAATCTGACTTTGAGCACGCATTGCTCATTTAAACCGAACATTCATTTTTATTTTGTTTCTATATCTATAAAACATTCTTTCTTGAATTCTCATTCAATCAAATAACCTGTTAATTAAATTATATACAAGGATTTCTTGATTAACAACATCTAGCAAAAGGGAGCAACTCTCATTTGCTTCACTTGTCATAATTGTCTATTCAGTGTGCCTCATAGATACCCAGAAGCAAAGAAAAGGCACATTTACTTATATTTTGATACATTGACATTAATATCATTGCATTTAGTTTGTTTGCTAAGTACTCAGAGGCAGAGGAGAAGATTTTCAAAACATTTATGCATTTTTGCTAATTAATCAATAGAGCCCCACCCAAGCGCAAGAACCGCGACCCAGGGACAATGAAATTCACAATTTTGGAAGAGGCACCCTTTCTCATCATAACTATGTATTCAGTTTGTTTAATTAACATCAAGGGGCAGAGGAGAAGATTTTCAAAGCATTAATTTATTTTCAGTATATAATACATGCAAATAAGTCCCCCTCACCACAAGGAACCCCTGACCCAGGGGCCATGAAATTCACAATTTTGGAAGAGGCAATCTTTCTCATCATAACTATGTACTTAGTTCAACGGCTTAATATACAGAAGCAGAGGAGAAGATTTTCACAGCATTAATTTTCAAAGCATTAATTTATTTTCAGTATATACGGTTCACGGTAGCTCAGTCGGTAGAGCGCTCGCTCCGTGACCGGGAGGTCGTGAGTTCGAATCTCGGCCGCGACAGACCTAAGTCAATAAAAACGGGTAGCAACTGTTCCTTCGCCATGCACTCGGCACTTTGAAGTGAAAGTTACGGGTCCTTTGGATGAGACCTTAAAAATCGAAGCCCTATGTCACTGCAGGCGTTGGCACGATAAAGATCCCTTACTGCTCAATGGTCCTGAGCGCCGAGTAAAAATTTGAAGCCCTTCAACGGTATATGGTGACGTCTCTATATGAGTGAAAAATTCTCAAATGGGACGTAAAAAACATACAATCAATATTTTCAGTATATAATAAATAACCCCTCCCCCCCCCCCCCCCCAACATGGAACCCCTGACCCAAGGTCCATGAAATTCACAATTTTGGAAGAAGCACTGTTCCTCATCCTAACCATCTACTTACTTCATCAGCTTAATACCTAGGAGTAAAGAAAAGATTTTCAAAGAATTAATGTATTTTCTTTATATTTGAGCCCCGCCCTAACACCAGAACACCTGACCCAGGGGTCATGAAATTCACAATTTTGGAATAAGCACTCTTGAACATCATAACTTTGTACTAAATTCATCAGCTTATACCCAGGAGCAGAGGAGATTTTCAAAGAATTAATGCATTTTACTATATAATCATTAGAGCCTCTAACACCCTACCACCAGATCCCCTGACCCAGGCGCCAAGAAATTCACAATTTTGGAAGAGGCACTCTTATTCGTGAATATGTACTTAATTCATCGGCTAAATACCTAGGAGCAGAGGATAAGACTTTTAAGGAATTAATGCATTTTCACTATATAATCATTAGAGCTCTGCCCTAGCACCAGAACCCCTGACCCTTGGGCCATGAATTTCACAATTTTGGTACACGGCTCAATGTTTACTACAATCATGCAAACAGTTTGACTGCTCGATGTCCTGGAGTAAAGAAGAAGATTTTTAAAGATTGCATTAATTTTGATGGTTTTAGCCCCACCCCTCAGGTCCCAGGGGGGCAGGGGCCATGCATTTCACAATTTTTACCCCCCTTCACCCATAGATGCTATATGCCATAATTGGTTGAAATTGGTTCAGTGGTTCCAGAGAAGAATGTACAAATGCTCAAAAGTTTACGACCAATTGACGACGAACGACATACGACGAACGACGACAGACTAAAACAGATAGCAATAAAAGGGGCTGACCCTAAATATAAGGGACCGAGGGGGCCCGAAAGCCTTTAATTAATACTTTGTCAATACTTTGTTATACTTAACTAAGACGAAACTGTTCGTCTTAACAATTTATTTATATCATTATATTTGAATGAAAGTCTCAGTCAAATTCTTATCAAAACTCGGTCTGAAGACCCACTCGTTGCTCGCAACGAGATCGCATCCAGTTATTATTATTATCACTACTACTACATGTATTATTATTATTATCATTATTATTACAATAATAATAATTATTATTCATATTATTCTAATATTTTCTTCTTGAAGTCGAAAGTTAAAAAATACTTCTTTCAAAAATTGTACAGACCCTATGAAATACACAATAATTTTTGTTTCATTGATCATGTTGATGACGTATACCAGAATTGTTTGAAATTGGTTTCAAAGTTCCAGAAAGAAAACTGAAAATGTTCAATAGTTATGGATTATAGACTAAAGTCTTATTTAATATGCAATATTTAGAAATTGAAGTACAAATTGTTTATAAACATAGAAAAAAAATCCTGTACATTGTACTTACTTCCTTGAAGACTTTTATATGCACTAAGTATTCACAAAATGCAAGCACAAATTTGTTCTTGTTTTCACGCCAGCAGTTATCTGCCTGTAAATAAAATGTGGGTGGCAATTTTCCTCCCTGGAAAAAAAAAATTAATTCATATTAAATTTTCATGAACTTTGGCAATATATTTACATAAAAGTGTTCTCTGACCAATATTATAAAACAAATTAATAGAATAGTTACCATTATATCTTTTATTTTGAAGAGTATCTGGAGAATAATGTTGATCGTCAAGTTGGAGTCTTGGGGATATTGCCCAATGTCAAGAAACGTAAAAAATTCATTTTGACCATGGGCAATTACTCCAGAAATGTGAGTTTTTAACTGGTCAGCAGAATTTACTGCCTGTAATAAAAAAAATATTTCTTGACTTATTAGAGGCGCTAGCTTGTCAAAATGAAATCTAGAGAAATCGAATATCGAATATATATATATATATATATATATATATATATATATATATATATATATATATATATATATATATATATATAAGTACCTTTGCTGTCCTTCCTACAAAATGTGGCAGGTTACTCTTCGCTGAAATGAAATTCAGAAATCAGTTACAGTGTATTCGATAAAAATGAGCTGTATTATATAAATCAAGTTAGTCTTAAATCAAACAGCAATGCAAATATTGTTTCATATACAATTACGATGAATGGATTTCACTTAATAAGACTGCATTTGACATCTTCTCTACACTATACACTCATATATAATCTCAGACCTACAACATGAACGAAGCTTAAGAAGCTATAATTATGAAACTTAGAATAGAAAATAGTTTGAAAATAAATTGAAACAGAATAAATTAATGAAAAATTTTAAAAAATATTTTCAGGAATTATATGCCTTGTTTTAATCAAAGACATTATATGCCTTGTTTTAATCAAAGATATTTTTTATGTTTTTTTAATTATTTATTAAAATGAAAGTTTGAAGCTTGGTCTCAACGTCCTTTCTTCTTTTTATCTAAGCATTCTTCAAGTAAACTCACTTGCCCTTACTCGGGATTGCAGTTTTTCCTATCTATATTCAACTGCGTCAGTTTGTCCATAATTTTTGGGTGTTTTTGCAAGTATTTTTATAAATGTGATAATGCGGTGTAAATTTGTGAGTCATTATTTCAGGAAGGTACGTTTTGAAAGTTCCCTAGTTTTCTCAGGCTGTAAATGTATTTTTAAAATTTATATACATATTTTAAGCAAAATCCCTGTTGATAACATTAAGATAGATATAATATATCTATCTTAATGTTATCGACAGGGATTTTATATATCCCTATATTTTTCATTTCTAAAAAGTTTAATACTATCCCGAAAAGAAAATAAAAAAGGAAAGACAAGTTTAAACAGAATAAAGCGGAGAAATTCAAAAGCATCGAATTGATGAAGATAAGTGTATTTTTAAATGACTGCATGTTTTCTTAAACATTGAACAGATACATGTACTTTGCTTATTAACATTTTTAACATTATTTTCCAAATTGTTATGCTTTGAATAGGGCATATTCTTACAAAATACTTTTTTGCATGTCTTTTATTTATAAATTAACATTCAACATACATGTATATAACTTATAAGTATTTCCAAGAGATGTCTAAAAATTACTTGTAAAATGCAATTTCAAAAGGGCTTCATGTTTGTAAATACAGTAAATCCTCATTATGTCATAGAAAATGGGACTGAGAAAAACTTCGAGAATCCAAGGATTCGATATATTTGGTGTAAAATATTTATAGAATTTGAAAAATGAGTGGCTGGGGCTTTCAAATAACTTCAATTTGTATTTGTAATGGTATTCGAGGTATCGTGGTATTTTGTTCAAAATTCAACTGTATTGGTCAAATTCGATCGAACTTTACTGTCATTTTATATGACTCATTATTATGAGGTCGAAATTCAATTGCCAATTTTGAACGTATTTTTTTTTTTAAAAAAGGTGGACTGTGAGGTGAAAATATGTTGCCAAAAAGAGCTTTCTTTTGAAACGATACTCTGAGGAAAGGGGTTTGATTATATGTGAAAATGCTTTCATCTATATAATCCAAAAGTGTTCTTAGCTAGCATTTCTTAGTCGAGTTATGGTTTATAATTGTTATGAGAAAATATTGGACAAAAATATAAAAGACTTTATAATCATATATCTATATATCATACTCTTACATTTAGAAATTTTAAGAAACATTAAAATTCTAATAAAAATAGCACTAGAACAAAAGGCCTGTTTAAGACAATATTACATGTAGTTGTAAGTACGTGACAAACTTGTGATTTTTGTGGACACAACTTCAAGGGAGTCTATGTCCTTTGAATATTACACTTCGCATAATTCTTTCACATTATAATACATGTAGATCAAACCTTATTAATTCTCAAGACTTATTCCTAGGTTATATACATGTACATGTAAAATGATAAACGCAGATATATATTAATAATAAATAATTCTTTATATAACTGAATTTGATTCTCAAATATTATTGATGAAAAAAGAACAACTAAAGCCTAAAATAAATTGCTTACATTGATCCATGCCATCAACAATGACGCTTAAAAACTTTGTTGGTGCTCTTTTCGCTGCCTCTCTTTTCTTGTAGTAATACTGCCTTTCCATCCTACAAATTTGTATCCGTTTAATTTTTAAATATGGTAAGACTTATAATTTCTTCATTTTTAATACTTTTTGTTTAGATGATAAGTATTATCACCATAATTATGAAATAAATTTATGGGGTACGTGTGCTGGAATGAATTTGAAATTCAGGGGTGAAATTTCAGAATGTCTTCTGTCTAATCAATAAGTAACGATTCTCATCAAAGATAAAACTTGGTAAGGATGTTGAAAGTGTACTTAAGAAATTGTTGGTTATTGAATTGCAGGTTGTGTTATCTACGGGTCATCGGAGGTGTAAATTAGACAGTTTAAATCAAAACAACCCAAAGTTCAGAGGGACATCAAAATCCAGAACCAAATTTTTGGAAGCTTTGAAGAAATTTGTTGCAGGTAAGCCTTTGATTTTTTTTTATTCTCGGTTAAAAATAACTAAATAACAAAGTTTTTTATGATCTTGATTTAAAGTCTCCCGATTAAATAAAAAAAATGCGGAGAAGGGGCAGGGAAATAAAAAATGAGATTTGAATGTAATTGGTTTTTACAACTTTTTTTTATCAAGAGTTTCCCGAAAGACAACAGAATCAAAGGACAGAAGAGAGCGAAAACACACCTTGTGATCAAAATGTAAATCAAGCAGAGTCATCTAGTGAAGGTAAATTTTGAAGCATGAAATATGTGGAGATAACGAACAGTATTCCAGCTCAAAAGTCCATTAAACAGTACAAAAAATACATATCTCGCCCTTTCCAAGTTTTTCCTCTTACTTCCTTGTTTAAAAGAAAAGTACTTATTAAATTTACCTTTGGCATTAATTATCTATTTAATTTAAGGAAACCAAATTAATGAAATAAGTATGCGGATATACTAACATATCTATTACATAGAAAAAAATCTAGTAAACCAATTCTCTGATTCGGGATACGTATATAAATACACGAGAAATTCTCCATACTTCATACGAGATATTTCTTGTCATATCCAGGGTTCGAAATAAACTTTTGTAAGCACTAGTCCGTACGGACTAGTGACTTCCAATTTTCACTAGTCCGTAAAGCATTTGACTAGTCTGCCTTCTGTCTTATGATAATGATAACATACCGATACTCCTACCTTGTGACTTTAAAACACCCCTCTCCTGCAACCCGAAGTAATTTTATGAGTTAAAATTAAATTTTGGAATACAGAATTAAATTATAAGTAATCTAGAGCTACAGGAAAAACAAATTTTGCAAGGTATCAAAAAAAATTTATTTGAATCAGAATTAAAAAAAATATTGAAACATAACAGTGAAATACGTTTTAGAACACCCATCCCCCACCCCACCCCCGGAAATGTTAATATACGGAGTAACATAAAGTGTCAAAAACAATTAAAACAATGAATGCATATTTTTATAATTGTATCATTAAGAGAGAGAGAGAAAGAAAAATGGAGAAAATGGTTGATTAACATTTTATTGTGCATTGCTGGTATTAGTTTCACCCTTGACCTAATTATGTCCGTAACATCACAGATTGACAACTATGAGCAGTGTGTTATTAAATAATTTTTTAAATAATGTTTTGTGCCATTATAAATCATCTGTGATCATTTACAAGCAAATGAATTTCAACACTAAATTTTTATTGCCTTAATTAAGATACGATATTTCCATGTTGATTTCTAATTCGAAAAAAAAATATTTTATTGATTATAGTGATATTATCACTATAATCAATATTTTTTTTTTATTTTTTATTATTATTATTATTATTATTATTATTATTTTTTTTATAATTTTGATATTTGTAATTTGTTTGACATTTGAAAGAATAATGTATCAAGATTTTTTCTTGAAAGGTTTTTTGGTTGTTTCTCTCTATGTTTCTCTTCTTTCCAAAAAAAAGTAGAAAAATCCACGATTTTTAAGTCCAGGGTAACATTAAATTCAATGTTAATGTGGTAAGCGGATACGTTGGAACAATTTCGATAGATCTATCTATATGTTTCTTCTCATGTGTATATTTTGTAAAAAAAAAAAAAAAAAATCCGATGATTAAAAATTTATTAGTTAAATAAAAAAAATTAAAAAATAAATTAAATATTGAACTATCATTTATGAAAAGAAAAAAAAAAACACGAAATTAAGTGGGATTAACCCGGAGATCGATCCCGAACACAAAAGCAGTTCAGCGTCACTTGGCTACGCACACAATTAAGTTTTTTATGCATAACCCCATAAAATAACTAAATTATATAATCATTTTTTGATAAAAAGACCAAGTTAAAAAAGATTTCAATATATATAATATGATATCAAAAGAGCATAACCTATTCAAGATTTCTCCAATTACATATATTAGCTCAAACACATTTTAATTTTTTCAATGCTCACTTTATACATGTAGTTCTCGATAAATTTCAAGTAATATACGTGAATGTTATTTATTTTGTTTGAGATACTTATGACCATTTTTGCCAGATTTTTAATATATTTTTGTTCATAGGTAAATTTATTTGATGTCATAAAATATTGAAATATTATGAATATTTGTAAATGCGAAACATTGAAGGCTGTAAAGTATACCAAGTGCCCTTAATCTCTTTAAGGTTAACATGTATCCTCTTAAGAATTTTATAACAAACAAAGTTTTCTATAGAGCTTTTCTAAACGATTTACATAATACATGTATGTCATAGAGTTTTCCTTTTAAAACTAACTTAATATGTGAGGAAAAAAGAAGAGTTCAATCTATATGTAGTTTAATAAACACAAATCTAAGTCCATAAATTAATCTCTTTGCTAAATAAATCCAGTGTCAACAATTAAAAATGTAGCTGAGACAAGAATTTATTTTAAGTACATTTTAGGATATATTCGCTGCTTTTTAAAATTATAAAGTTATAAAAAACAAAAATCTAAACATTAATAGTTAATGCAAGACGCATGTAGTTTTAATTCTGAAGACAGAGAGGTTTAGTATGCGTTGAAAATAAACATCTGATCTATTACTTAGTATAAGTGATATGGATCTTCGACAAGTGTTTATATGACAATCTTCCTTCATGCGGTTTTTCTCAACATACATGAATGATGGATTTGAGAATTGTCACTTGGAATGGATATTGTAATAAAAATGATTTGGTGTCAGACAGTAAGGCTTGTTGGTCAAGTCGTTCTATAGAAAATAAAAAAAATTCTGATATCTCGATCTTGGAAACTTTCTTAACTATCAATTAGAGACCATGGGTATTGATGATAATATCCTAAATAATATCCCAAAACAAGCCAGAGCATTAAACCTTATGTCATTATTTATACATTACATAAGGTATACCAAAACAACAGAAATGGAGCTAGTCAAGTCAACATGTGTCGAATATCCTTATTAAATAAACCAATGGGTGGAATAAATTCAATGCATTCCATAATTCTCTCAACCTTTAGAATTTAAGTCTATACATATTCATAACTTACAGACGTTTGATTAATTCATTTTTACAAAAATATGTAAGTGAAAGATAGATAGCGAAATTCAATTTTATTTTAATAAAATGCAAAGATGTTAGCGCATTTGTTTATTTTTTTTAACATTTCATAATTATCCAAACTTCTCACATTTGATGTTTTATAGCTTTTTATGTAGCTTTTTTTTTTCAAAAGCACCGTATATTTTTTTTTTTACATCCAATTACATGCGGATGAAATTTCACTTGCGGAGGGAGTGCACAACCAAATATTTTAATTTTAACCCCCCCCCCCCCCCCCAGTCACATTTCCAAAAACGACAAGCGGACGAAGTCCTGCCCGATTTTACATCTTTTTCGTCGGCCAACCAATTTTGTGTTCAGTAATATTTTTTCTGCGTCGCTTGCCGATTTCTTTAATTGAATCAGTAATTGAATAATGAAAAATAATAATGAATATAATGATAATATGAATGAATTATATGTCAGAAGAAATAACGAACAACAGTTAAGCTTAGTTTTTTTTCTTCTATAATTATTGCGCAACTGATTTCTAATCAATCAACAAAGTATTTTTTTTTCTTTAATGAAACTTAAAATGTTTTTAATTTTGTTTCAGATTTTTCCAGTCATCTTACAACGAGCTCAAGTGACACTGAATTAGAACTAGAGAGAAAACTTATTGGTGAGTGTAAAAAAATGTGTATATATTTTACAAAGGTTAATTACTTTTCCACAGATGGAATCTCACCAACCTAGTTTGGAAATAAGACGATTTAATGCATTTATTGTCTTTATTTGAATATGCCCTGTGGCAACGTACTTTGAAAAAAATACGCACTTTGAATTTTTTTCAAAGCGCGTTAAAATTTGGACAAAATTAACGCACTTTGAAAAAAAAGTGCGTTAAATTTGGAACAAAATCAATGCACTTTGAATTTTTTTTCAAAGCGTGTTAAGAATTTATATCAACATTTTTTTTTATCATGGAGACACTTAACACACTTTGAAAAAAGATTCAATTAAACCAAAATCCTGGACTTAGATTTCAGAAATAGACAGCATTATTTTATAAAATTTCTTTCGAAAAACTGATAAAGAAGAAGACAGGTAGAAGGTCCCTCAGCCAAACTCTTTATCTTTACTACCCAATTATATGTATTTACATAATTGGTATAACATTGATACACTTTATCTGAATTAAGCTTTAAGCTACATATAAAATTGATGGGGAAAAAAAATTGGGAGAAGCTTTCCTGAAAAAAAGTTCCCTATTATATTAAAGAAGATAGAGTCAGGGGCCATATCACTGATCTAAGCAACAATAGCCAATTGACTATTCTTTGACCATATTTGCCTTACAAAATAAAACACAATACATATCAACAACAACAATGCATGTAACAACAACAACAAACATGACAACGACTTGTATAAAATGCATAAATATTTTTTTTTCATACATCTTATTACTTATCAAATAACTATATTAGTAATAAAAAGACCATCATATTGTGCGGGAAAAATAATATTCAATGAGCATACAAACTTT